ACTTAAATCCTGGATAAAATTTTATCATTTTAGTCATCTTATCATAAAAACAAAATATTCAAACCTGCTGCAAAAAAATCACCTGTAATTCTACCACCCTAATATTCTATAATTTTTTTTTTCAGGTAGGTCTCACTCTGTTGCCCAGGCTGAAGGGCAGTGGCACGATTACAGCTCACTGCAGTCTCAACTTCCCAGACTCAAGTGATCTCCCACCTCAGCCTCCTGAGCAGCTGGGACTACAGGCACACACCACCACACCCGGCTAATTTTTGTGTTTTTAGTAAAGTCAGGGTTTCAACATGTTGCCCAGGCTTGTCTGGAGCTGCTGGGTTCCAGTGATCTGCCCGCCTTGACCTCCCAAAGTGCTGGGGTTACAGACGTGAGTCACTACGCCCAGCTTCTGTGATTTAAAAAAAATTTTTTTCTTAGATGGAGTTTCACTCTTGTTGCCCAGGCTGGAGTGCAGTGGTGTCATCTCAGCTCACTGCAACCTCCACCTCCCGGGTTCAAGTGATTCTCCTGCCTCAGCCTCCCGAGTAGCTGGGGTTACAGGAGCCCACCACCACACCTGGCTAATTTTTGTATTTTGTAGTAGAGATGGGGTTTCACCATGTTGGCCAGGCTGGTCCTGAACTCCTGACCTCAGGTGATCCACCCGCCTCAGCTTCCCAAAGTGCTGGGATTACAGGCAGGAGCCACTGCGCCCAGCCCGGCCTGATTATTTTTTAAGTAGATGTAGCCCGCCTCAACATCTGTTGTACACAGGTAGACCATACCTATTGTTTTTGTGAATAAAAGAAAAATACTTCCTTAAAAACATATATTACATTGATAGTACTCATTCATTTTTATATTTTTCAAAAGTATTCAAAGTTGAGGGAAAAAAATCTTTCCAAGTTGACCTTTAATCATTTGTAGAACATCTGCCAGTCATTCCCAGCTAACGAAAATCTCAGCCCTGAGCTCCAAAATCAGAGGACTTGCTTTATTTAAAGGGATAAGAAAAGTCAGCTCTTTCTTACTTGCTAGACTATGAGAGGTGTTAAAGACAAAGTCCTTACCTTAAATAAACTAAAAATCTGGATAATGAAATAAAAGATGCTTTACACTTTTCCCAGTGGAAAAGTGTTCTAGAAAGGTGCATAATTATTAACCCTTACAGAAAGTAAGAGAAATGTAATATAAGAGAGGCAGAACTCTGATCAATTTTTTTTTTTTTTTTTTTTTTTTTAATATGAGGTCTTGCTCTGTCACTCAGACTGGAGTACAGTGGCGTGAACACGGCTCACTGCAGCCTCAACCTACTGTGCTCAAGTGATCCTTCGGCCTCAGCCTCCTGTGTAGCTGGGACCACAGGCATGTGCCACCACACCTGGCTAATTTTTAAATTTTTGGTAGAGATGGGGTCTCACTTTGTTGTCCAGACTTTTCTTGAACCCCTGGATTCAAATGATCCTTCTACCTCGGCCTCCTAAAGTGTTGGGAGTACAGGCGTGAGCCACTGTGCCCAGCCCAAACTTGATTTTTAAAATGATCTATTTTATTGAGTCAACGAGTAGGTAACTCACATGCCACCAATAACCTGAACAGAGCGTATTTGCGTGTTGAATCCCAGGGATCGGAGATTAATGGTTTCTGCATTAAGTTCAATCTTTTTTCCTTTGAAGTCTTCTCTTTCAAAGAGAATAATGGTTGGTTCAGAAAATTCCTGTTGAGGAACAAAAACAATGTTCTGTTATTCATCTTTGTTAATAATTCAAACTTATGTGAAAATCATCTTGTTACAAGGACAAAGCACAAAAAATCTGCCAGATTTGGCCTTTCCATCAACTCCTTTTCCCAGGGGGCCCAGATGTTTGTATCCTCCAAGCTAGAGGGAGCACAGAGGGACAGTTAGTTTTCCCATTGCATAGGAAGGCAGGTAAATATAAACAGTTCGTAAACCAGGAAAACAAATTCCAGGCACAGAGAAATGGGTATATGCTGGGAATATCAACACTTCTGATGGCAGTTTTTTGGTTTTGTTTTGTTTTGTTTTTTTGAGACGGAGTCTCGCTGTGTCCCCCAGGCTGTAGTGCAGTGGCGCGATCTCGGCTCACTGCAAGCTTCGCCTCCCGGGTTCACGCCATTCTCCTGCCTCAGCCTCCCGAGTAGCTGGGACTACAGGTGCCCGCCACCACGCCCGGCTAGTTTTTTGTATTTTTAGTAGAGATGGGCTTTCACCGTGGTCTCGATCTCCTGACCTTGTGATCCGCCCGCCTCGGCCTCCCAAAGTGCTGGGATTACAGGCGTGAGCCACCGCGCCCGGCCGGCATTTATTTTTGACTTAACCATTTTCACTGGGACAAGGAGAGGCTGGAAGGTCATGGACATAAATGTTGAGGGTCAGAGGGCTGTGGCATCTGATGTTTAGTCGCTTAGTGTACGGTGGTATTGTCTGATCAGGGGACCTTCCTCTTGTATGTATTTTCAAATGTCTTTTTTTTTTCAGTTCATCAATAAGATAATGATCTGTGTACTCATGCTCCCAAACTTTCCTGTAGGAATCATTGTCAGGAGGAGGGAAAAAAACAACAGGATGGAAGCTCTATGTTCAAACTATCAATCATTTTAAAGAAGACAACAGCACAAACATTCACTGATTTTCAGCAAAATGAAAAGTTGGCAGCTTATGCCTGTTTTTTCAAATTATAGACACTTTTGACTCTACATTAATCTGTAATGATAATACTGCTAAGATCATAAATGATGCATTAAAAAGCACGTGGGAGGCCAGGCACGGTGGCTTATGCCTGTCATACCAGCACTTTGGGAAGCCGAGGTGGGCGGATCACTTGAGGTCAGGAGTTTGAGATTAGCCTGGCCAATAGGGCGAAACCCCATCTCTACTAAAAATACAAAAAAAACACAAAACAACAACAACAACAAAATTAGCCGAGCGTGGTGGTGCATGCTTGTAATCCCAGCTACTTGGGAGGCTGAGTGAGAGACTAGAGAATCACTTGACCCCAGGAGGTGGAGGCTGCAGTGAGTCAAGATCACGCTACTGCACTCCAGCCTGGGCAACTGGGTGAGACTCCATTTCAAAAAAAAAAGCATGTGGGATTACAATTTTTTCCCTATCCTGCTTAAAGTGTGTGGAAAGGGTGTAGTACCTTACTGCTTCATTTGTGTGGATGTGTCCTGACTTGTAAAAAAGATTTTGTCTATCAGTAAACAGAGCATGTTAGTGTGTAGAAGTAGTTTGTATGGTCTAGGAATTAGTTTATATAAAACATACACGGAGGAAAGAAGACAAAAATTATAGTAGTATTACTACTTTGCACTTTGATTGCACTTTTGAGATGGCATGCCCAAAAATGTTCTAAACACTTTAGTATTAAAAAGCAATTAAATAATTTTGAACTATTAAGTCACAAAGATATGTAGTCTTCATATGGGTAAAACATTCATTTCCTCACAATTAAAACATAAAAAGATGTCATCTATAGCCTCAGAGTGTTGTGAGCATATATGCCAAGTTCTGGTTGAGGGAAGGCATTGACATTTTCAAATATATACTTGTAGGTAGCTTTTAGAATTCTAGGCAGAATAACAATCCAGGTCTTATTTCATTACTTGTAAGCTAATGAATCTTACTACCTCATTTCATGTTTCACTGCTACTATTTTCATGTCTCAGCAGCATTTTTGCTATTTAAACAGGCAGGCAGGGATGAGATGAAAACCAGCTCATATATGTTCTTCCTACCTTTCAAACTAAAAGGACCAACTACATGTGTTTAAAGCTTTTTATGAGAAAGCAGTTACCAAAAACGAATAAAAATTTCAGAAACTACAGATACTTCCAGACTTTAATATTTGAACATGATCTTGCAGTTTTGTTCTATCGAATATTGCTTCAGCTACATCAAACTGAAAGATTTCTGTCCAAAAGAGGGCACTATAATCTGGATTAGCACATGGTGACAAACTGGGAGAAGTCATTTGATTGCAAATCTCTAAAATACAGAATAATAGACTAAAAACCTATAAGAAATTTCTTCAACAATAACAACCAAAGATAGAGGAAGCCAAATTGCAAAGGATACAATACACAATTAGCTGAATAGAAAATGCAAATTATAAATGAGAGATACCAGCCTCACTAATAGTGAAATACAAATTAACCCAACCACAACATAATGCTTTCTGCTCATTCTATCAAGTTGACAAAAATTAGAACGACAGAATATTCAGTAATGGCAACAATGTGGGAAGCAGGAACCCACAGGGACTGCTGGTAGGAGTCTCAAGTGGTGGGATCTGGCAGTGCTGAATGAAACTGCCTGTTCTTACATGTGAAATCCAGTAATTCTACTCCTAATACATAGTCCCAAGAGACTCCCACACAGGTCCGTAGGGATATGCATATGAGGATTAAGTGAGTAAAACAGGGTGGTGGAAAATGTGTACCAGTTAGAATCAATAAACTAGATGTACACAGAGGCAAATGCACAGTTCCACCTCCAAGCCCTTAACTTACTTTAAGAGCAGGTTCTACCTGCTGGTTACCTCACTCTGACCATCAGCTATGTGAGGCATACATTTCTGCAACACTATTCACAATGATATACTTACAACATCTATAAAACGAAGAGACTTGAAAGTTGCTCCAGGCGGGCATCCCATTGCAGACAGACAAGGATAATGGCCTTCCTCCAACACGTATTGATTACCAGTGAAATTTTCTCCATCATATACAACCCAGCTACAATGGGAAAAACCACACACATGCACAGAGTATACAACTTGAGTACTCCTATTCAAGAAGTCTGATTTTTAGAGGCAGCCTGCTATAAAATAAACACAATGCTTATGGCAAACAGAGTTCTTTCTTCAAAAATATTTGGATATATTTATTGCATTTCTGCTTGTGGCAGATTAATATTCATAAGACAGTTAACTTTGCATTTGGGAAATAAACTTCTTTCTCCATGTTCTTTCTGACTTCCCCAGCCTCCAGCCTTCCTTGCACTTCTCATGGGTGCCACCTTTTGCCCAGCCAGTGGAGCTTCAAGCCCTCAAGTCCTCTTTGAATAATCCTTCTTCAAGCTTCGTGACTAGTTAATCACCAAGGTCTATTGATTTGGTCTATTGATTTCCTTCCAAAATTTCTCACACACTCCTCTATCCTCATTTCTAATACCTCTGCACTGGGCCAGGAGTCAAAATACTATAGTGACTTAAGTCACTTAGCCTCTCTGGTATCAACATTATTCATAAAATGGTGATTTGCCATGCTTCCCTAGAAGTTTGTGGGTTTTTTTCTTTTTCTTTTCTTTTTCTTGGAGGCTAGGGGGATGGAATCTCGCTCTGTCACCCAGGATGGAGTGCAGTGGCGTGACCTCGGCTCACTGCAACCTCCGCCTCCCAGTTCAAGTGATTCTTCTGCCTCATCCTCCTGAGTAGCTGGGACTACAGGTGTGTGCCACCACACCCAGCTAATTTTTATAGTTTTAGTAGAGACAGGGTTTCACCATATTGGCTAGGCTGGTCTCGAACTCCTGACCTCATGATCTGCCCGCCTCAGCCTCCCAAAGTGCTGGAATTACAGGTGTGAACCACCACACCCGGCCTTGTTGTTGTTTTTAACCCAACAAATGCCTTTTGAGGATTGTGTGCCAGGTACTTTTCTATTGCTGGGTATACAGCAGAGAACCAAAGTCCCTGCTCTCCTGAAGTTAATACTCTAGTGAGCTGAGACAGGTAATTTTCAACGTGCACAGGACTGGTGGTAATAAATGAAACAGGCAGGGGATAAAGAGGAGCAGGGACGTGGTAGCACTATGTCCAACAAACTAGGAAGCTTTACTGTCCATCTATGTGTGTGTGTGGTTTTTTTTTTTTTCCTGAGACAGAGTCTTGCTCTGTTGCCCAGGCTAGAGTGCAGTGGTGTGATCTCAGCTTACTGCAATCTCCACCTCCTGGGTTCAAGCATTTCTCCTGCCTCAGCCTCCCAAGTAGCTGGGATTACAGGTGTGTCATCACAGCCGGCTAATTTTTGTATTTTTAGTAGAGATGGGGTTTCCCCATGATGGCCAGGCTGGTCTCGATCTCCTGACCTCAAGTGATCTGCCTGCCTCGGCCCTAAGTGTTGGGATTATAGATGTGAGCTGCTGCACCCGGCCTCCGTCTATGTATTTGAATGCAAAGTCAGTGCTTTTCTGCTGTGCAGTACTAAAGGATAGGATAGCATTGTTTCAACCATAAAGAACCACATGATTAAAGGCACTATTACTACTATTATTAAGAGACTTACATCCTCAACACCTCTTGCACAGATTGCTCCAAGGCTTTCCTGACTGAGTTTCCCTGACTTTGGGCTCTCCCCTCCCTATGAAGCTTTTGTACATGGATTGTTTCAGCATGGCACTTTGAGCCCATTGCCTTTGCCCTGCGTCTTGTGTTTCCCATGGAAGCCACCTAAACTCAGTGTGCTCAGCTTTGCTTCTCCTCCCAGTACAAAGCCCTCCCAGCAAGCAGGACTAGTGGCTCCCTGATCCGCATGTCCACCGGCTCCACTCCAGCATGCACTTTCCACCTTCCTGTTAATGCAGAGTGCGGATCCTGTCCTTACCTACCTGGAAAAACAATCCTCCTTGGGAGGTACCATGGATTAACTAGAGCCCAACTCTCCCTTTCTAGATGATGGAAAGGCATACAGAGTAAAGAACCTGCTCTGAATTCCATTACACAATGAGATGATCTTCAGCTTCTCCAACCAGCCCAGAAGCCCGTGTCCTCTGGCATCTGGTACTCAGATGTCGCAAATCCCGCCATTGGACTAAGATGGTGGTTTCACATAGTGCCAAGCACCTAGCAGGCATCACTAAATACTTGCTGATGTGTGAATTCTGTTTTACTTCAGTGATTCAGCTCTGCCAGGCCATTGTTTTACTTACCTGCCTCCTGAAACTCTGCAAGACTTGGTAGAAAATGAATCATCAATTTGACTTGTTGTTTCTTCAAAACTTTGACTGTGACCTTGAAACTGTGGTTCTGAAAACAAGTGAATCTTTGAAAAAGTAAACAGAAACACAAAAAATTATTTTCATAAACACATTAACTAATTTAGCCTTTGAAATGATGACCCAAACATGACCTGTTAACTTTTGTTACAGTAAACTGGTGTGAATTTTATAAATCCTTTAATTTTCCATGTCTACATTCATGATCAATTAGAAACATGTTAGCTGCACCATTCATGACTGTTTATTTAATTCAGAGACATCAAAGTAAAATGCAACAACAGAGGTAACTTTCTATAGAACACCCTGTTGTGAAGCTGTGGGGCATTTTAAAGCTTTATTGTGGCCAGAAGTCATTGTTCATCAGTTCTAACAGTAACAACAAACAGTATTTTGGAAAACACAGTGTAGTTTCCTTCCTTCTCAATGGAAGATACTTGCTGACTTATCAGAATCCTGTAAATGCCAATAAAGGAGGCTATAGTGGTGTTTGTTCCTCTATAATTATGGCTCTGTGAACACTTCCATTAAAAGGCCTAAATAACAAATGTACACTCCAGTTGATGTTAAGAATCAGCATTCAGAAAGCTTGAGCGAGACCATATAAAATGTCTAGTGCCGACACAGCAAATATGAAAATTCATTTTACCATCACAATAACTAGATGCTATTGTTTGAAATATTAATCTCAATGTATTAATGTATACTCTCAGTCAATGTAATGATACAAAATTCAGCTTTATACGATAAGAGCATTTTATAAGAAGTATTTAGACATGGGTCAGTACTGTCAATTAACCATTAAAGTAAACTTAAATCTTATTTTTTAAATACAATTATGGTTTCAGGCATAAAAATGGGTACAACTAACAAAATGTCCCAAATGTCTGATTTTCTTCTTTTTTTTTTTTGAGACAGAGTTTCTCTGTGTCACCCAGGCTAGAGTGCAGTGGCGCGATCTCGGCTCACTCCAACATCTGCCTCCTGGGGTTCAAGCAATTCTCCTGCTTCAGCCTCATGAGTCGCTGAGCTTATAGACAGAAGCCACCATGCCCACTAGTTTTTGTCTTTTTACTAGAGACAGGGTTTCCCCATGTTGGTCAGGCTGCTCTTGAACTCCTGAACTCAAGTGATCTGCCCACCTTGGCCTCCCAAAATGCTGGGATTACAGGCGTGAGCCACCATACCCAGTCCCAAATGTCTGACATTTTAAACATAAGTTCAGTTTTTCAGTGGAAGGCCCCTCATATATTAATATAAAAGAATATTTTTAAAGTTACCTGATTTCGTCTCCTTGGGCCAGTGAAAGAATCCTAAAAATTTTTAAAGGAAGGAGAAAAGGAAATGAATAGAACAAACACATTGAAAAAGTTTTTTTCTTCTAGATTATTAACAATTACTGCTAAAAATAAACTCAGAATATTTTCCACAGCAATTATTATTACATGAACCAGTAACACACATTAAGGAAATCCAGAATTCAGTTAAATATTCTCATGCAAAAATATAACTCCTTACCAAACATATAGGTTGAACAGAAGAGATCTTACAATTTTTGCCTCCCCAGTCCTCAAAACTGGAATAAAATCCTTTATCCAGTATATACTGTTCTCCTGTGAAGTCAGGATTTTCATAGGCTACCCATCTAAGAAACAAAAACAATAACTTGTTAGAGTTCATATTTTACATATAAAACAATCACATATTGCAATAACAATGTATCATACAGAAACTTTCATTTGTTTTGCTAATTGAAATTTTAATTTTTCTGATTCTTCATTAACCTTTAGAAGCAGATGGGTTTGTCTACAGGACAAATCAAAATGGTAAGTCAGCGGAGAAAAGGAAACGCTTATACACTGCTGGTGGGAATGGAAATTAGTTTAGCTGCTGTGGAAAGCAGTTTAAAGATTTCTCAAAGAACTAAAGACAGAACTAGTATTCCACCCAGCAATCCCATTACTGAGTATATACCCGGGGAAAATGAATTATTCTACCAAAAAGATACTTGCACGTGTCTTGTTTACTGCCGCACTATTATCAAGATGTGGAATCAACCTAGGTGTTCATTGATCAATGGTGGATTGGGTAAAGAAAATGTGGTTCATATAAACCATGGAATACTATACGGCCATAAAAAAGAATGAAATCAAGTCCTTTGCAGCAACCTGGATGCAGCTGGAGGCCACTATCCTAAGTGAATTAACGCAAACAGAAAACCAAATACCAAATACTTATGAGCAAGAACATATACTTATGAGCATGTTCTTGCCCATAAATGGGACCTAAACATTGGTTATGCATGGACATAAAGATGAAAAAAAAAATAGGCACTGGGGACTACAAAAGGGGTGGGAGGGAGGGGGGTTTGAAAAACTACCTATTGCATACTATGCTCACTACCTGGGTGACAGGTTCAACCGTACTCCAAACTTCGGCAAATCATGCAATATACCCATGTAACAAACCTGCACATGTACCCCCTGAATCTAAAATAACAGATGAAAAAAATTTAATGCAAAAGAAATGGTAAGCGTAAGAGTATCCTGACATGAACTTTTGAGTGTCCTCACTTATCCAATGCTATTCCTTCAGAAAGCTACGAAGGCAATACTTCTCTGTGCTTTTTTTCTAATTGTATTCTGAGGAAACAAAACACATAGGACTTTAAAGAATAACCAGTTCTTTTAATAAACAATCAATAAATCCTTTCATCCTCAACCTTAAAATATTTTTGCAGAAAGATCTTAGGAAGCTGTGTCTATTACACAACAAACCACACTGAAAAAGAAGTTAACAGAAGAAATGCTTTAAAAAATGCAGAACAGAACTAAAATATTGTTTCCAACAGTGTTTCCAACATCACATAAATATGTAATAATTAAATAAAATTGAGCAAACTCACAGAAATACTAAAAATAAATCTCTTTTGGAATGTTTTTTATTTCTAAGTGATCTACACCCAGAGGAAAATCAACAAAACCAATTTAATGATGCTATTTCCTATCCAAAGATAAAGTCTTTGAAAGGAAAAGGTTTTTCAGTTCTGTTATATTAAAGAGATACTTAATACTGTTATATTAAAGACATCAAGTATCTCCTCAATTAATTCATCACTCTCAGGATGCTCTCAAAGCTTAAAGGAATAATGTCTATGTAGGTATTATGTAGAGTGATCAGAACTTTGCAAAATGTTTCCATATCTGTTATCACATTTAATCTTCTAGGGAGGTATTGGTGTTCCCATTTTACAGATGGGAAAAACCTAAGACACAGGGAAGTTAATTCATGCACCAGGTGCCAGGAACTAGACTGGCACTAGACATACAAAGATGAAAAAGACAAAGCCCACAGATGGGTAAGAAGCATCACATGGAATTGTTTGTTGGTATTTGTTTTGAATGGGAAATGACTTGTCCAGGGTGACACCGTCAACTGTTGGCCAGAATGTGACAGAACCTACCTATCCTGAGGCTCACCAGGCTCTCCTCGCTTTGTGACCCAACCTGCCATGTGCCCTGGAAAGTTCCCTTTCATTTACTGTTCTAGAAAACCATGTCTAAAACAGTCCACACACTTTCTAATTAGGGCAGATTACAAATTTACTATCCAAAGGGCTGATTTAAACAAAAACTCAAGTACAGTCATTACTAGAATATGAACAGCCATCAAGGAAAAAAAGAACACTGCCAAGATCTCCAGTGAGAAGGAGCTAATGATAGCCAACAGCTGTGCACTGAGTCCCGGCCATCCAAATGGAGAAGCTGCTGTACTATCACTCAGTCTTTCAGGAAGTACAGTCCCCTACCACCCCCCGATTTCAGAACCTCACTAGCAATTTTTAAAACCTATCCTTTTTTAATTATTATTATTTTTTATTTTTTTAGTAGAGTCAGGATTTCACCATGTTGGCCAGGCTGGTCTCAAACTCCTGACTTCAAGTGATCCACTTGCCTTATCCTCCTAAAGTTCTAGGATTACCGGCGTGAGCACAGTTCCGGGCCTAAAAACCTATTCCTGATCATTAAGAAGTGAGGAGATAGGAGACCTGGCTCCACCTGTGGTCATGACATTAACTTTCAGATAACTTTGAAGAATTCACTTAACCTTTGTGAAAGTTCATATTTTCAAGTGTCAGTAGGGGAGTGGGCCAAGGTCCCCGGGCTGACCAGGTGATCCTGTACAGCACACGGGTACCCGTATGTGCTGCCTCCGCCCACAGGGCCTCAGGCTTTACCTCCAGCATGAAGGGAAGCAAAAGCAAAGCCTGAGCAGGGAGCACTGCTATGTGGGAGGACTGTCTGCACATCAAGAAAATCTACCTTACAAACGCTAGGATTTAAAAAAACAACAACGAACAATTACAGAAGAAGAGTCACATCGAAAAAAGCGTTCTCAGCAGGGCTCTGGGTCGGTAACAAGCAGAGAGACCAGAGGGTTAAAGGCCTTTCTGTTTGACTTCAAGGTTTGGAGGGAAAAAAGACAGTGAGGAGGGAGGCTGAATGCCAAGGAGAGAAGGCAGAGACTGAGCAAGCCCTGGAAGCAGCTTTAGCCAATACTCTGTTCTTTTTACGAACAAGTATGGGTACTGTGTTTTCCTATGCAACTAAACTACTTGTAAGTAAATACCCAACACCCAGCTAAGCCTATCTCTGAAGCTGAAGCCAGAAAACAATTTATTAAGATGTTACTTGAATTGACAGTAGTGTTGTTTTCCCTCCAAGATACCTGATGAATCAATCACCCATGAACACGGGGGCACTGGGGGAGGGGAGAAACCGCAAAACACAGATCTGAGATTCTCTGCTCTGTGATCTGAAAGTCTACCTACAACTTACACTTGGGGCTCTTAAGAAAATCCCTCACTGTCCTTGTCCGGATGTATTCTGTACACATGAATCAACACTCCTCTGTGTAAAGACTGGTGGGGAGATGGGGGAAAGGCATGTACACAAGTACTAGCAGGTCTCAGCCTGGTGGAATAATTGCTCAGAAGATAAGGGCAGCAGGGTAAACCTGCCCTTCCGTGAAAGGCTGAAGGAGAAAGAATTTAAAACAACAACACTTTTCGTTTTTATCTGAATACTAGAAATATTTCATTTTGCTCCTCGTTTTAAAAAACTAGCCCAGTTTCTACTCTCTGGGCAAGAATATGGCATAGAACTAGAAACTGATAAGCAGGGAGTTTCTTTCAACATTTCCAGTAAGAAATCAAATGCAGTTCCTAAAAACCTCACTTGCCGGTTTCATGGGCATCCTTCCTGAAGGCTGTTTTCTGTTTAAGGGCTAATGAGTTTACGACCCAGGGGATGTATTACCCATGTGATGGTGACCCTCCTGGGAGATACTTTCATGGAACAAGAGCTTCAGAAGAGTTTTTTTCTGACAATGTGTGCCATACTAAGAAATAAAGAACGAGCTAAAATACTTAATTGCCAATAAAAATAAAGCCATTAAAATACAATAATTTTCCTTTGAAACTGTTAGAAGTGAATAGGTAGTCCTACTCCAACATCTTGGCTCATCTCAGCCTTCCTATCCTATCCCACAGG